TACTACTAGTAAGGCACTTGTTACTAGAAGCGATGCACTTGTTACTACTAGGAATTCCGGGGAACCCACTTCGTGAGGTCGTCATCCGCGCGAAGTGGGTGGGTCGTGTCCAAGTCGCCCAACTGAAGTGGAGGTGATGGACGAATCCTCAGTCGAGAAAGAAATGAGAAGCCACAAGAACTCCAAAAACAACAACATCTAGTTAATTCGAGATGGATAGTTATCTCGTTGCTTCTCAACAACAAGATACCGCTCGAACCGGAGTTAACTCCCAGGAACCTACGATGTGTTGGGGCCCTGCGAGGCCCCGTTGGGGCCATGGTGGTCCTGCACCCTGACCTCGTTGATTGACGCCGACAAGCAAGAATAGCCCAGTGGCATTCCGGGTGATGCTGACGAGCTCAGGCGGAATCTCGATGTAAGTGAAGTTATACCAAAAAGCCGTCATGTTCTTCTTGGTGCCAGTAGTATCTGGCCAAATGCTGGCCTCCGTGATGAGCTCCGATCAAAGGGCTCTTTTTTTCTCTCACGTTCTTAAGCAACAAACAGTTGTATGAGCTGCAACAAGGTTAGGAGATATTGATATGATCGAAAAAATGTTCATCGATGTATTTGGCACATAGGACATAGGCGTTGTATTCTATGCTTGCCAACGGTTCATCGATTGGAGACTTCCAAACACTTCCAAACACGAATCACCAATCTCAACCGGTGCGAACGGTGCAGACTTTCCTCGTCGAAGGTCACGTTGTAGAGGCAACTTCCAGTCCAATAGGTCGCCGGTGGCGTAATAATCAGAATTCGCGAGCCTGGTACACAGGGATGACTGGCCAAGCTCTTGGTAGACTGGTCTCAGGTCGTTTCGTAAGTAAACAAAACAAAACTCTTTCATTTGCCCGAGTGTATCCTCTGCTGGCTGAGACCTAGAGAACGCCCCAGGAACACCCCGAAGAAGGTGCAACACTTCATGCCCATCTAGAGCAGGCCTGCGATTTCCATTCCAGCAGCACCTTCCAGGGAGGTGGTCTGCATCTGAGAGGGATATTGGGTGTAGTTCTTGTCGTCGTCGTGCACGCAATTCTCACCAGACCTAATCTTGCATTGATGAAACCAGTCCATCTGTTCCAGTGAAATACAATATGACACTAATTTAATATGCCTTGTTGTAAGACTCTTGTTTCAATTGGTCTATGCCGTCTCAAAGTCAAACACTTTGAAGGTCTTAGGCCGGAGTCTTCAATTAAGGTTGATCAATCACCTTGTTCCAGATTCTTGCCCGTTTTGCCAATGTCACATGGATGCCACCGAGAAGCTTGATCACTTCAACCTTTCGATTCGGTTGGCCTGGAATAACGGCTTGATCGAAGGCAACCATGATACTTCCAGGCGAATCGTAGACGTCGGTGCTGGGCAAGTAGAAAATCGCCCTCAGTGAGCCGAAAGACGCAGCAACAGCTGAAGCTCTACTAGGGGCTCCTGGCCTTACTACTAGGAACAACACTGCGTTCATGAAGACCTTGAAGTCGTGCCAAGAAGCGCAGGTGGTGTCAGGATCGTCGTGGTGATCTCCTCCGAGGTGGTCCAATCCTGGGGCGCTCTTCGACCGTGGGCAAGACCGCGGCACCGTGGGGCGCCGCTGAACCTAATAGCAATGGCCTCCAACCTAGTAGGGATGGTCTCCCACCTAATAGCGATGGCCTCCAACCTACTAGCAATGTCAAGTCAAGAACATGTTTGCCGAGGTTCGGAATTGAGGTCTGAATTGGTACATTCCTGGCGACGCGCCAGGCGTTTTTCTTATAGGGCTCTTTGTGCCGCTACATTCATGGCACCACTAGTGATGGGATGGCATACCCCACGATATTATGTGAATGCAAACAAGAGCAGGCATATCATAAACGAAAAGCCAGACCCTTCCGATACTGCGACGCAATCCATGGTTTCCCTAGCCCATCGGTCTCTATTTTCATCTGTCTTGTATATAGCTCCGTCAAAACAAACAAACTCAAAAGGTGACTTGAAGAGTTCTCGGAAACGAGGCCTAGTAGCGTCCTTGCTCCTAGTAGCGATGCCAGGAGCCCCTAGTAGAGTTCTTGTTCCTAGTAGTAAGGCCAGGGGCTACTAGCAGCGTCCTGGCTACTAAGGGTTTGTCCACCAAAACAACGTTGGAATAGAGTTGACGGCGATAGCACAATGACCCCAGCCGCCACTGCCTCTCGTACTCGAAACTGGTACGTGCTACCTTCTTCCAAGTATTGGGCTTCGCATTGGAGGACAGATGTCCTTCGAGCAGTCTCGTTCGGCCACGGCGTCTCGTTCATTTGAGAGCTCGTCAAGAAGTGTGTAGGAGCAAAGGGCATCGCTACTAGGGGCTGGCCGTACTACTAGGAACAATAAGCTACTAGAAACAAGAAATAAATAGAATTAGAATTCGCAGTAAACTAATCTAAAATCACTTAACATTTAATTAGAAACCATACATGACATACCTACGTAGTCATGGTTCTTGTTTCTCGTACGAAGGCCAAAAGAAGGGCCGTCGAGAAGTGTTCATGGTCAATCAAGTGTATCCACATGAATGAGCTTTGTGTATGGATGCCCTCCGTCTACCTTTCGTACCAGCCAGCCCTCCATCCGGATCATGGTCCTTGACGCTCCCGTCAATGTGGAGTTCGGACAGTTATCATTCCTCAGTAGCCGTGAAGACGCCTACTGCTTCCAAACAATCGATCGCAAAACAGCAGGAACTATGCTGAGAAATAGGTGCAGCTGATGACTGAATCATCACCAGACTGGTCGGCAAGTGGCAAACCACCACCCCATGCAGCACATCTTGGGCCCCCCTTTCGAGCCGTTTCGCTGTTGGTTTCAAGACGGTCTCTGTCGTTTCGCAGTGGCGTCGCTGTTCCGAGCATCTCAATCCACTCGCTCCAGGCTGCTTCGCCGGTGTATGAGTTGGTCAGCAGGTACTGCAAACGCCAACTCTGAAACACACCTCAAACGGCGCGCGAAAACGGCAGCGGGTCGAACACGGCCGTTTTACGGCAACATTCTTAGACTCGGCTCAGAAACGCACCCTGCAAATCCGTAAAAAAGGGACCCTATTCATGGAGCTTCAAACGAAAGTCACGCCAAGGAGCAGTCCGAGGTGTCACCAATGGACCATGCGACCACGATGGAATCGACATTTCTCTCCTCGCAAGCAGCACGTGTTCCTCGACGGACGAGTGACGAGTGAGGCTTGGAATCGCCCCAAAGGTCCCGATCTTGAGTTTCTTGTGTTTCTTTGGCATGAAAGGTGTTTTTTCTCGACATGGTGGATCAGTGAGATCTATATACTCGATTTCCTGCTGCAAACATCGATCCGCAACCAAGTATACAAAGGTTGGAGCCTTGCAGGCTCCTGTGTCACTATGGTTGCTAGGGATTTGGTACTCTCTTTCTTGATTCATGTCTTCCAGAGCGAAATGAGATGTGGCTCAGACCTGGCAGACTTGTGAAAGATGGGGAGAGTTGTGAAAGGCAGTTTCGTGTGGATGAAAGAAGGCAATACTGTTAGATTCAGCTTGGTCATGGCTTCGCATGGTTAGAGAAGCAGGGTCTGATCATGGTCTCCCAGCAGCAAATGACAGAACCTTGCATGCAAATGCTAGGATGTTGAAGAAGCAAGACTTCATTTAATCTGAAAAAGGATGTCTTGCTGCTAGGGATGCCTGTGTATCAGGTGCAGAAGTACTGCCTTGAATCGCGGTGGAGCGGTTGATGCAGGCATTATTGCTGGTTCCACAAAGTTGCTGAAAGCTTCATTCCTCCCAAATGAAGCTTCGCCAAAAGCGAAGATGCACCAGAATGACGGCATCTTACACATTCTTCTCGACCCTTCTCCAGGTCTTCTTCCAACACCCTTCTCACCCCTTGCTTCGTCCGTTCGAGCGAACCGCTCCGCGCCGCGCTGCGCCTCGTAGGTGACGTAGATCGGCGCCGAGGCGACCGCATGGCACTCGTAGGTCGTCGGCGTGAGCACTCCCTTGTCGCAGGACAAGCTGCTCGCGGTGGGCACATAGGTCGGACTGTTGCCTTCCCTCAGGGTTCGGTCGAGGAGTGGAACACAGGACAGTTCCAATTACGGCTCACCGACGGTTCCTTTGAACAGCATGATTGTTCATCCCGAGAAAACAAGGTCAAAAGGAATGGCCGCAGCGGAGGACCAACACGTTCTCAGGCACGACTTGCACTGGTAAGCGGAAATCGTCGAAGTGAAGATTCTTGAAATAGAATTAGAAGGACACCAATAGACCAAAAGTATTATCTAATTATATAGGAACTTGAGGCCGTGGCGGTTGGGAGAAAGCTAGGGCAATCGGTGTCATCCGAGTTCAAGAAACGATCCAAACAGCCAGCAAAACGGGCAATCTGGTGGCAATGTTCCTCGCTGAGGGAGCGGGAGGAGGGGGTTTTAGATGACCTCAGTATGTTTGAACTGATGCAACCAAGAAATCCAAGAACAATATTCTCTTGTCTACGTGCCTTGCTCATTTTTGGGTCGAGACACGCGCAGTTTGGTGTGCAAGTTCCACCGGAGGGGATTGACGTCCCCTCTTGGCAACTGTCAGTGTCCTCAGATCATTTGACCAATCACATGCACAACATTTCAGCAACCTACAACCTTCTGAGCAGCAGTGTCTTCCGTGGACATGCATCCAAAGCGTGCATCTAGGGACTGACAGGCGGACGTTCATCCACAATAGTTCGTCTGGGAAAGGAACAACACCATCCCCACAGAAAAAGAATTAGCATGGTATGTTGCGGGAGCCATTTTGTAAGAGGGACACGTGTACAGAATGACAAGGCTCTTGTCTTGCTTCACAAGATGGCGGGGCTACACCCCCTAAATCCCTACAAAATGACTCATCTGACTGTGCACATCTCACGGCATGAGAAACCAACACTGCGTTGATTCCACTCGATTTCAGATGATTCTGGCTTCACTTTATCCTCGTAAAACTTTCCGTATGACCTTTCTTTACCATACGCAGTCACACTCAGGTCTGAGGGATTCATGATGTTGTAGAAGAATTGTGAGGCTGACTCTGCATGTTTGTTTTGTTTCACTGTTGTTGGATAAAAAGTCAACCCGAATCATCAAGATGACACGATAGCTATGCTACAGGAGGCGTACAGGCCTGGCTTTTGTTCATGGGATCGCTAGAGAGGTTCTACAAACAAGTGACATGAAAGATACAGTAAAAAATCAGGAGGTGCCGGGATGATGCCAGTTACAAACTTGATCGCTTGTGTATGAAGTCACACCAAAGAAACATATTGTGTGATCGAAACTGAAAGAGTCCTGCTACTGGAAGCCGGTAACAATGAGTGGCTGCACGAAAGCAGGATTAGTTTGTTTAAGGATTTTGTTGGGAAGTATACATGCAGCTTCAGCCATTTTGTAAAGACTTACACGGCACGTGTATTATACACCGTGTATTACCATATAGTAATCTTATGATGTCGTCCATTTATGGAGAAATAACCAATCATCAAGGCAAGATGACAAAGACACATATGTGAAAATGAATTTCAGGGACCATGGCCATGTACTATGTGAACGCATGTGGATAGATGTTGGAGTTTTGGTCTTTTGGAAAAATAAACGCTGAACACGGAATAACATGGAGTTCTTATAGAGAAGCTCTCTTTGATTAATTTCCCGCACAGGCTTGTTTAGAGAACATTGGGGCCAGGCATCCATTTTATGGTGCAACACTCAATTTAAATAGGGGCAATGTTCTACGAACATGCCACTCCCCCGATGGCCATGCTAAGGTTCATGGGGGCTGAACGCAGTCTTTAATGTCATACATATTCCAATTAAAACCCAAGCTCGATCTACAAAATCCAGCAAATCAATGGACGCTATACTAAATACCGAAGTCTTGTTTCTACAAAATGAAAAAGTACCAGGAACAAGAAACTACTGGGGCTCCTGGCCTTACTACTAGGAACAAGCTGACCATTACAATTATATAAGGCTCTAGTCGTCATGCTTCTCAAAGACCCTAGTCGTCATCACCAAGAACAACAATGACCAGACCACATGCCCAATTCGTCAGAATGACCTCTTGTGCCTGTTTGGCCTGTTTTTGGCTACAAAATGACCCACCCATCTTTTGGCCAAAACTGGTTTTTGACATAATCTCAGGATCATCCATTTTGTAGGGTAAATGGGATACATTGGAAGACATGTTGATACGAAACATCAGTCATACAAAAGTTACTATTTGGGCCAGCCAGGCTCCTTCAAGTTCTCGGACACGGCTGGGGCATCGCAGGGCTGATCGCCACACACAAAATTAGCGAGATTATCCCAAACCTGAGGTTTGCAGGGATAGTGGTGCGCCTGTGACTTGCACATCCCAAGCAACAAAAGTTACAAAAAACAAATGAAAGCTGAAAGCAGCCAAGCTTCTGAATTATAGTCTGAATCACTCTGAGTTGTACAAGTCAGCAAGGATCCTGAGGCACGGAAAGTGCTACACAAAACACGAGAAAACACACAATAAAACACATCAAATAGTTATGTCTCTGTGGCACCAAGAAGCCAGAGCTCGAAGTCATATAGCCCTCCTGGCAAATTGTCGTACAACTGGTGCCATGAGCGAATGGTCCACTACCTTCTTCGCAAGGAGGATCCTCTGCATTCGCAACTCCTTCGTTCACCACGAGGTGTAAACCAATGTGTGCGGGGGCTCTTGGAGAGGCGGGATGCGCATTGCAATCCCTCAAACTTTGAAGTGCAAAAAAAAGGTGACGGGGGACCTTACGGTACAAGTACCTTATGGTGATCACTCGCGTAAGGGTGTAGGCACAGATGAATGTATACTTCAAAGAAAGAACGTGCTCATGGGTACTTCATTGACACTGGCTGTTCAGGAAATGACCAAGGCCACTTCACCTTCTAGAGTTAGTCAATTCTTGTTTCACCTCGCGGAAAAAGGCCTTGCAAAAATGGTTCCACCGTCTTGGAGCCCTACAGGGGACAACACCGACAACAGGTAAAGCAATTAAAGGACCGGATAACCCCACATATGAATCTTTACGAGTCTTAAGTTTCTAAAGCACAAAGCAGTCAGAGTCTCAATAGCTTCTACAACACCGGCCTTGTCAGGAAGTGATATCAGCTTCCGACAACAGAGGGGTGGGAGAGAAGGTGTAAGAGAGTGATGTGCACGACGGATGTACGAGGTATTGTGCACACAGGTGTGCGCAGCCACAACTAGCCAACAACACCAGCGGTTGTCGCACGTCCGCAATATGGGGCATAATGTACGAAAGTTGCACTACAAAGTCGCCAGTTCTCAGCTTCCAGCTCCACAGATTGCTCCG